GGCTTCCGTGGCTTGAGCGCCAGCTCTCATTTGAGGCTTTTCCCTGCTGGTCTGAGAGGGCCCAAGGAAGCACAAGATCCTTCCATGGGGGGCCAGGGCGGAGACCCCAAGAGGGAGGGAGATGTCAGGCCTGGGCGGCTGCCCCACCATTCCCCCAGCTTACTCTAAGCCCCTGCCTAGCCCAGCTGGGGGGGTGGGGAGGGGTCTCAGACACTGTGTTTAGAGCCCCCGGGGTCCCCATGACCTTGCCCCTGGCCATCTCCCTGTGCAGGCCGGAAGTTGCATAGGCTGGCTCATCAACCACACATCAACCTCCATGGCTGGAGGAGATGGGTGACCAGGAGCCAAGGTTGTGGTGTACTGGCTAGGGACACAGGTTCTAGGACCCAGAATCCTGGGCCTGAGTCCAAAGCCCAGCTCCCATCAACAGTGTCCCAGCGTGTCCTCTGCCTCCTGCTTGGGCCCTGTGCCTAGAAGGTCCACTTGAGAAGGCAGCCATGAGGACGGTTCGGGCTAGGAGAGAAAGGGCCCTCCTGGCCCATGCAGGCGGGCACCTTGCGCGTGCTGGCCCGCATGCCTTCCAGCGGCCCTGGACTCTCCCAGCCAGTTGCTGTTGCAGGAACAGGCGCCTGAGCTGGCGGCTCACTGGCAGGAGGGGGCAGCAGAGGACGGACCTGGCCAGCCTCGGAAAATGGAGGCTCAGACTTCAACCCCCCACCGGGACCACCTGGTGGTCTGTGGAAGCTGGGTTCCTGGGTCCCACCTCCAGAGAGTCTACCCGGTAGCTCGCAGGGGCCCCCAAGATCTGCCGTTTCAGCAGACGCCCCGACGACTTCTGATGAGGGGTGCTCTGCCACCCCCGAGAATCTCCATCCACCAGGGAGCCGCTGGTGGGCCTTCTGACCTCCCTTCCTACCCGGGCCCTCCTCCTGGACTTCCAGGGCCTACAAGCAGCGGTGAGGCCAGGAGCGGTGGCTGGTCTGTGTTGGGGCCCCGGGCCCACGGCCACTGCTGTCTTTCTTGGGAGAAACGAGCTGTCTTCCTTCTGCCTGGGCAGGGAGGAGTTCAGCCGTCCTGGCGGGTCACTGGCAGTACCGAGCAGAGGGCCCTGTAAGATACACATCCGGGCGTCTCTTAGGGTCCCTCGCAAAACTGACATACACCGTCATCACCTCGCACGGGGACCCCACCAGGCCCCTAGGGTGAGACGTGAGGGAGGACGGCCTTGCTCTGCAAAGGCCTCATCTCCTGAGCCTCTATCCCCGTGGGTCCAGGTCTGCAGTATTACTAAAGACAGGGCACGGAGGCTCAGAGGTGACCTGGCTGGCTTGGGTAGGTGGTGGAGAGCAGGGACTGGGCTCCACATTTGCCCTGCCTGGAGGGAAGGCCGCCTACTGGTGGTGGCTGCAAGGCCACAAGCCCCTCCTGCTGGCAGTCCCCCAGTCTCAGGAGAATAGAAGGATGGACCTCCTGAGGGCAGGCGCCCTTACCCCAGGGTGGCCGAGCCCCCCGTATCAGCCCACACCCCAGGCACCTTCTGGCCACTGGGACTGCCCACCTGGACGGGGCCTGGAGGTGAGCTCCTGCCGGGCGGGGCCGGGGCAGCCAGGGATGCCAGGGAGAGTGGCTGAGGCTTGGGTGGCCCGGGGGCATGGGCCCTGCCCGGGAATGCGTCTTGTGAGCCGCCATTAGAGGCTGACTGCGTGCACCGGCCGTCCTTCCTCCTCAGGTCTTTGTCATGGGGGATCACCCACGCTCAGGGCGTCCCGACTCCGTGCCTCAGGACTAAGCCCCTATTGTGCGTACAGAGTCCGACCTAATTCCACCCGGGCCGCCTCCGTGCTCGCTGACACCGCGTGCCATGCAGAGCGTGTGATGTCGCGGCAGACTCAGAAGCGCCTGGGCGTTTTGCGCCCTGACCCGCACATGTCCAGCACGCTGTCGCGGCGGCGTCAGATTCGCCCACGGCCCCGTGCGAGCCGGGCGCGACGGGCCCCAGAAGGACGCCGCCAAACGGAGCGCGCTCCGGGCGCGGCGGTGGCGGCGCGAAGCCTGGGCGCGGGTGCAGAGGCGGCTTCGCCTGCGGGATGCGGCTCTTCCACCCTCGCCCGGAGCCTGAGTCTCCTCGCAGGAAGGCTGGACTTTCCCTCGTTCTTGGGCCACGGGCCAGGCCCGGAGACAGGCCCGCAGCCCGGGCCGTTTCCCCACGCAGGCCCCGGTGGGTGCCGCCACCTCGCCGGACCCGGACGCGGGTGCGCCGGGCGATCCCTCCCAAGGGAAGGCGCCGCCGGGGAGAAGAGCAGGAAATTGGGTCCGCAGCCACCAGCGACGCCGAGGCGCCAAAGCTACGCACGCGCGTCCTGGGTGCCCCGAGGCCTCCAGGGCGCCCAGGGAGTGAGCGGGTGCAGGGGCCGAGGCTCTGGAGAAGGAGCGTCCCGCGGTCCGGCGCTTGGGTTCCTCCCCAGGCCTCAGCCTCCAGGGCGCAGCCTCTGGTGCAGAGAGGGACCCCGCATGCTAGGAAGCTCAGGGGTTTCTCAGGACTCATTTTGCCGGGCACGGGTGGGCGGATGCCAAGAGAGCCTCGCCCGGGCCGTGCCTTCTCCACGGCTGCGGTGCCTGATCTCGGAGCCCAGGCTGGGCGAGCAGCGACAGCCACCGCGCCCCGCAGAGCCTGGCCCAAGGCTCCGGCCCAAGGCTCCAGCCCGAGCCCCCAGGGCTGCGGCCGCCGGCCCCCTGCCGTCCCCTTTATCTCAGTTTATCGACAACTGTGAGTTTGGGACATTAATTGCCCAGGCGAGTTTATTGATAATGTCGATGTAACAGAGCACCGGAGAAATTACCCCCACATCCAAAATGTCAAATCTGAGAAGAGCCAGGTTTGGGGACTCGCGACCCCAGGACAAGGCGGCTCTGCGGTGGGTCCTGCCGCACCAACAATGTGACTTATTGTGTGTGTTCCTTGGTGGTGAGGAATTGGGATTGAAAGAGGGTGGTCAGCGAGAGACACGTGCTAAAAAAAAAAAATTTTCCCAGAAGCGACAAAATGTGACTCAGGAGGGAAAGATGGCCAGTGGGAAGCACGCTCAAACCCTCCTCCGTGTTGGATAGGGGAAACTGGTGTAGAGGGCACCAGAAAACAAAACAAGGCAAACCAAAGCAAAGCCTTAAAGCTGATTCATGATCTGTATTAGCTGGAATACGGGATGGCGAGATCTGAGACTCGGAGTAAAACCCTCATTGGTCTCGGAGTGGAAGAAAAATACATGTTATAGGATAGACACATGTAGACACATACACATGCATGTCCCTGTCTACATGTGTGTACATAAATGTCCATGCACACACATCTGTACACACGTAACGTATGTGCATGTACGTGGTGTACATGTGCACATATATACGGCCTACTTGTTCCCGTGGTTATTTAAAACGAGCAATGACATTTAGAGGGCAGAGGGCACTTCTCGAAACGCAGAAGCCAAGAAAAATAGTGCCTCTCGTCCAGATTTTACTTCAACGCAAAGTGAAGAGCACAAAGAGGAGGATTCGCCAAAAATGAAAAAAGAGAAAGAAGAAAATTCAGAATCGCCCGGCTTGTAGATTTGTAAAAGCCTAGAGATTCGAAGCCTCTTTCCGCATTTGGGAGTCTGGAAGACACCGGCAGTCCCAATCCCAGTAAAGTACGCATGCGATTTTATTTCTAGTTGATACAATTTTAAAGGCCATGTACAAATGTTATACATTTTTATTTTTGTTCTTTTTTTAGGAAAAAAAATACACAAAAGGCAAAACATCCTCAAGTTGTCATTTTATACAGTGCAGAAGGAAATTTAAAATACGTGTCACAAACGCTGCACCCCGGCAGCTAAAATACTAAAAAAGGGGGAGGCGGTCCTTCATATTATATATATATTTATATAAAACATATGGAAATTTGTTTTACACAGATCGGTCTTTGTTTCAAATTTACAATGGATATCTAGAAAAAAAATTCTACACGGCAAATATTGCCAACAAAGTTACACCATTAATACTGATAAACAGAGGAGCCTACGCGGTGTTTCGATTATTAAGGAGAGAAAGTGAATAAATAACAGGACGAGCCTTGCCAGAGTTTTTAAAAAGTGCCTTAACCTTTCTGCGTCGCCGCCAATCCTGAATCCGCACGGCTGCCGGGCCTTCCCCGTGTCCCTGCGTCCGCGCTGTGTTCGGCTCGTTCTCAGACCAGAAAGTTTACAGTAGAGGCCGGGGCAGAGAGAGAAATACCCACCGAGAAAGCCAAAATAAGACTCAGGACAAAACACACAAGAGGCCAAAGCGCAGGAAGAAGAGGGAGGTGGCAGGCGGCAGGGCCTGGGTGGCCGCGTCGTGGCTCCTTCAAATGTTCCTTTTCAAGACGACAGTGGCTTCAGAGATCGAGTTGCTCCACAAAGATCCACCAGTGCCAGCGGTCGGAGCGGGGAGCACTCCATGGTGGGAGGACAACCGTGAGCCCCACGCCCCCTCCCTGGCCAAGACGGCACTAAAGGGAGACACGCGCGTTCCGAGACATTCTTTCCGGGGAAAAAAAAAAATTAAAATAAAAAGATAAATACTCAAACAAAAATAGAAACATTTGATAATGATTGGTCTCACGTGTTTGCCTTCCTTCTAAAAACCTTCCCCCACTTCTGCCACTGGAGGGGAGGGCGGGGAGACCTTGGCAGAACTCCTGTGTGGATGCACAGGGCATTCCCCGGCACAGCACCTTCTTGGCCGGTTTCAACAGGGTCGGCTGCAGTCAGATCAGACCCCGCTGCCGCTTTTTACATTTTTTTTTTTTTTGAGGGAGTGTGGAAGGAGCTGTCGGTCACAGCGGGTCTTTGCGGAGGGGAGTCTTTGCCAAAAAAAATCCGGTTGGGGAGGGGTCAGATGACCCTTCTCTTCTGCCAACGGTTATACCTCGAGAATAAAGCAGTCTCCTTCACCGGGGCGAGGTCCCTGCGCCCGGCCGCCTGCGCTCACATCACGCAGGGCTTGATGTCTTGGTAGGTGACCTGCTGGTGGTAGTAGGAACCGCCGCCGGCTGAGTGCATGGATGAGGACGCCATGGCGTTGAAAGAGAAGACGAACTCCTTTCGGTCACACATACTGGGCGACTGGGAGTGATACCGCGGGATGCCTGCGGGCGAGGGGACAGGGGGGTTGGGGGAGCAGAAGGGTTAGCCGCCAGGCCAGAGCTCGCTGGAGAAGCAGCGCTGCCCACAGGCGCACAGGCCGGTCAGCCTGGCTCGATCTGCCGCCGTGTCCAGCCTCCCCACCTCCCCGTCCGCCATGAGGCCGGGAAGCCTGTGGGCCTCACATACCCAAGGGAAAAATCCCGGGATCCTGGTGATCCGCCTGGCTCCCCACAGTGCCCACGCCTGCCCCAGCCTTGGATGCTGCACAGGGCAGGGGCTTCCCGAAGGGGACTGGGTGAGGAAGTCCGTGCTCCAGAGAGGCTCCTGGGAAGGCCCCACCAGTCCTGACTCCCATGGCCGCCACTGCCAGGACAGCTACCTCCCAACCCCAGAGGCCGGGCTGCCTGCGTGGAAGGTCAAGAGGGTCAGGATGGTGCAGGCCGGCAAGTACGGGAAGAGGCTTCCCCAGAGAACAGGGGTCCACCAGGGCAGCAGGACCCAGGAGCTTGAATCAGCCAGAGCAGGCGTCCTGTGGAGAGGTGGCTGGAGAGGTGGTGTAGTGCTCCCAGGCCTGGCTCCAGCCTCCCGCAGGCTGCTGACAGCTGATCCTGACAGGGCCCTGCTGAGCTCACTCCCAGACCTTTCCAGAACCAGGCCCAGGAGGCTACTGGGGGCGCCCAGGCAGGAGGGAGTGCAGGGGAGACTGCTCGCCTTTCTCAGATGGTTGTACTGGGACAGGAGTCCCAGGGACCTGAAAGCTTGAACCCCGAGAAACAAAGACTCGGTGCAGCCCTGCCTGCAGCTCTGACCTGGGCCCCCAAAGGCCGGGGCTGAGCCTCTGGACGTGGGGCCCAGGCGACTCTGGGCCTAACTCTTCCGCTCCGCCAGGGCCTGTATCGGAGATGGTTCTCCAGGCAGATGGGCCGGCTGGACAGGACGGCGAGCCCTGGTCCCATGCTGGACCCTTCAGGGGTGTGGGGGACTTAAGGACCTAGAGTCGGGGTCTGAGACTTCTTGGTAAGCTTGGCTACCTGGCTGGGCCCGGGGCAGCAAGCAGGGGCGAGTTGGAACCGAAAGAGAAATATTACTGGCCCAAGTCGAGGTGGAACGTGCTCTTGTTCCTCACGGGGGGGAGAGGTGGGGCCAAGAGGCACCCTGGGGAGCCGGCGCTGCCCTCGGCCTCGGGAGGGGAAGAGGGTCGCTGTGGCTGGGTCCCGCGGCCATGGAGAGAGACGGTGACTCCGGG